CTGTATCCTCGCTCCTCACCCCAGCTAGGCTGTATGTATCCTCGCTCCTCACCCCAGCTAGGCTCACTTTGTTAGGAGAGGAGACCTGGCCTTTACTCAAGTGCTCCTGGTGTTTGGTATGGGTAGATGGTTTTTGCTGCTTCATCAATAAAAATTTAGCAGATCTACTCTTCTCTGCCTTCACTTGAATTCTTCTTTCTTCATTCCATTCCTTCTTTTCTTCCCTTTCTTTTACATTTAAAACTTTTGCTGTTGTTAATTTATGTATTCCCATTGTGCAAGCTCCTGCATGTGAAAACCCAATATTGTTTTCACATCATCTTAACAGAACCGAGTAGGTTTGTGGATTTAATTGTAAAATGAACCAGTAATAACTAAAATTGTGCAAATAGGATAAATTGCATTTACCAAGTCCAAAAAATTGAAATTATTTAGATTTTTATTATTTTGATTGTCTTCTTTCTGGGATTTTAAATATTAGTAACTTTTCTCACTAATATTTAAAAACCTCAGGAAAAAAATAATCATAGTAATGAGGTTGTTTTAGAAATCAATAGCTTCTGTATGGGCATTTGAAATGTTTAACCTGAGATTTTTTTTTTTTTTTCATTTCAGTTTAGCAAATTTAATGTATTTAAATTAATTGCTACCTGATTATTCTGCAGGATGTAATGGTTGGTTTTGTTTTCTCCAATAACAATCAAGGTACCATTGGATACAACCAGCGAAACAGAATTGATACACTTATGTATCTACTAGCATATCCACAAAAACCCATGGTTAAAACAAAAACAATTGAGCTAATAGATTTTGAGAAGTTGCCAGCTGGACAGAATGCAACGGTTGCTGTGATGAGTTACAGTGGCTATGATATTGAAGATGCTCTTGTTTTGAACAAGGCCTCTCTGGACAGGGGTAAGTCAATTCTCAGAGCTTTAACACCAGAAGTACTTTTTTGCAAAGTTAGATATAGTGATGATTATAAACGTTACTTGGTGTCAGAATGCAGTTTAAGTTTCAAATGATTTGAACTTTATACACAAAGTGAAGCTGATATATATTTTTTATTTAAATTGAGAATTTCATATATCAGTATTATATCATTCCCACCCCTCTTCCTCCCTCTTTCATTACCCCATCCAAATTTATAATTTCTTTATTGTTTTGTGTGTGTGCGCACACACACACACGTACATAGGTAAAATGTCTGAGTGCATTTAGTGTTGCTTATGTGTTTAGGGATGACCACTTGGGATTGACTAACCTCTCAGGGAGCTTACTGTTAAGAAGACTGATTTTCCCTCTCTCAGCTGTTGATTGCCTGTAGCTCTCCATCTAGGGGCTCTAGGGGTAGAAACTTGCACGTTGCCCCGTCTACCTTGGCATATCAATTAGTGCTGTTGTTGTGCAGCTCTTGCTTAGGCAGCCATTTTGTCATGGTCTCCTGTGTGCAGGGCACTGCCATGTCTAGAAAATTGTAAGACCTGTTACACTTTTGTGTTGGTTTTGTTTGCTTGCTTTGTTTTAAATGACTGACATTTAAATAATTATTAAATGTTTAACTTCAGGATCCCTATTACTTCATTGTATTGGTAACTTGAACATTTCTCGAAGAGAAAAATAAATTTGGGGTTTTGTTGTTGTTGTTGTCTTAATATCTCTTATAATACATGCAGCAGTAAACGTGTTGAGAGCAGGTGGAAAGGCTATTTGCAGCTCATCTGCACAGTCTATGATACGTTTGTTAGCCAAATGTCAAAAGCAAGGAATGTACAAAGACACAAACCTTATCTTGTGGTTGTTGTGGGTTTTGTTCTTCTTCACTCTGGTAGCATTTACTTCCACAGGTCAGCACTGTATGACCTAGCCAGCACCACCTGGTCGGCAGGCTGACTTCTCTATTCAGTCTTGAGCTCCTTCCCTCGCTGGCATGCCCACGATTTCTCCCCTTCCCTCTCTCTAGTTGCTAGGCAGCCATAATAGTACTCCTAGACATGTGTCATTGGCATTAATGTTGGCTGCACTGAATTTATGCCCCCTTTTTCTCAAATGACAACAGCCATGCTTTAAAACTAGATATTTTCCTTTCTGATTAACTGGTAACATTGATGTGGCAATCTGAAGACTTTGTGATGTCTATCAGAAACACAATTTAATGACCAGAGTTTACCTCCCTTCCCCCACTAGCTTTTAAGCTTCCACATATAAATAAAATGTCCATTTGCACTTAGAAGAAACTATGGGGTGAATTTTTTTTCAGTTTGGATTCACATGCACTGCTGCATGTTACTGTTAATGGCTGTTGTATCACAGCTTCGGATCATGTAATATTTGCAGAGCAGCTGGCTCTCTGGGCACGTTTACTGTGGCACCACAGGTCATGGGGAGCTGTGATGACGAACAGTGCATAAAGACTCACAAATTACTCTATATACCTTACTTTTTTTCTTCATAGTCACCCTCACATTTAAAAGAAAAGGGGGTAGGGAACAGATGTGTTTCCTTTCCTGGAGAAATAAATATTATTTGCTGGCTTGCTTAGGTCTAACCAATTGTAAATGCCAGAATCAAAGAGAGGAAGACCTTTCAGGGAAGCTTAGCAGAAATTATACACAGAGAGTTTGTGCGCTGAGCAGCCTGGCCTGGACTTTGGTGGACTTGGTCTGTTTCAGGTGGGCTGCCAACTTTGCGGGTGACTGCATTTGTTTAATTTTTTGGCGCTCATGCAGAATGCCTGTAAAAGAAGGGGATAGCAAAGGTGGTTTCTAAGGTCCTTTGAAATGCTGATATTTTGTGGCTTTATGTTACCTGTGTTTTTCAACATGACATAATGGATTGCATGCTGGAAAGTGGACATAAAAACTGGGTTTATATAAACAGTTGGCAGAGGAGTGTGAGTATGTTTTGGATTGTTACTTATTTTTTGTTTATTTGTTTTTTTCTTTTCTTTCTTTCTCTTTCTCTCTTTCTTTCTTTCTTTTTTTTTTTTTTTTCTTTTTTTTTTTTTTTTGCCAGTTTCAGATTTACCAGTGGTAAAATAGTTTAGTTTGCAGGTTGGTTTTTCTTTTTGTTCTTGGAAATGTGAGGTGAAGTGGCTTATTGAATACCACAAATTCATGTTTTGCCTTAGTTTCGGATTACAGCAGATTCTGACCCATTTGGGATTTCATTTCAGGTTTTGGGCGTTGTCTTGTATATAAAAATGCTAAGTGCACATTGAAACGATACACCAATCAGACTTTTGATAAGGTGATGGGTCCTATGTTAGATGCTGCTACCAGAAAACCCATCTGGCGACATGAAATTTTAGATGCGGATGGCATTTGTTCTCCAGGTAAAAACCTTTCAGTACAAACTTTTTGAAGTTGTGGGAGTTATTTAACAGTATTTCTGAATTGTTGGCAAACAGGACAGAAAGAACCAGTGTGTAATACTTCTGTCTAGATTCAGCTGGTATGGTAATTTTAGATGAGTTTCCTTCCTATCTATTTTTCTATGCTTCATGTATGTTTTCCCATAGCAAAGATGTATTCTAGGCATAAGCTTAAATTACAGAAAAGCCAAACTGGAAACTGTGTTTTGAATAATGTCTTGAGTCTGCATCTATGCTGGTATTTCTTAATTTATACATTTTGGTTATAGTCTGATTTGGACTATTCTTTTCCTAAAAGAAATTACTTCATTATAATTACAAATGTGTAATGAATTTCTTCGTAGCCTGGGGTCTACAGGCTAGTGTAGAAGGCTGATATTGATCATCAGGTCACACACAAGCATGCCAGATTACATCTAGTGTAAGAAACCATAAAGATAAGTGTGAGAACATTGTATGGCAAGAGGATTTGCCCTAGTATGGAAGATCTACACAGCCTTTGTAAGGAAATAAACCGAAATCTGTGTGTGGATAAGAGGTGTCTGCTAAAGAGGGTTAGAAGAACAGCACCAAAAGCTATGAGAGTGTCTAGGAGTTTGATAGCCTCAGCTGTCTGAAAGGAAAACAGCATATTTCAAGGACCAGCTGAAAATTCTGTTGTCAGACCAGTCACTTTCCATACAACCTAGTCATAGTTGGGCACTGGGTGGGCAGTGCTGTAGATAGCTCTGATTCCCCGAAGCCACATAGTGTGTAAGTCCCCTTTAGTGTGTCTGTCTACCTTTGTTTCCTTGGAAATTTTTGTGAAGTGTTAGCACTGATCACTGTGACCGTGAATATGAGCATGAGGATGGTTATTTAAGTCACTGGTCCTTAAATTGAAATAGAAGCAAAAACCCATAGGGTTTTTATTTTTCTTCCTTTCTAAGGTAAGTTGTTGGTGATTTGGTAAAGTCTACAAATAACTAGTGTTCTTAATCTGTTCTGATACCCTAAGAAATACATGAATTTGCTGTAGCCTGGGATGGTGCCTGCCTTGTTTACAGTCTCTTAAGTCAGCCTCTTGTTGACTGAGGTGGAGTTTCACTTGGTGGATAGTCCTAAGTCAGTTCCTCGGTAATCACATTGTGATTTCCATCAGTTTTTTTTTTTTTTTTTTTCTTTCTTCTTACACAATAACCTCTAAAGCCTGTGGAACTTCACTTCCCACTGGGATGGCCTGTTTCTTTCTTACATGTCTGGACTTGATAAACCGCGACTGCCCGTTGTTCCCTGCCCAGCAGACTTTGCATTCTGCACAGATGACAATGATCTGTTTTTACTCTTTTTTTTTTTTTTTTTTTTTCTGTAGGTGAGAAAGTAGAGAACAAACAAGTGCTTGTAAACAAGTCCATGCCCACAGTGACCCAGATTCCTCTGGAAGGAAGCAATGTGCCTCAGCAACCACAGTACAAAGACGTGCCCATCACGTGCGTATCGCTCGCCTTGATAAGACATAGAGACATCTGGAAAAAGAGTGGATGGGGAATTATATGTTATGTATGATTATGTATCATGTAGTTTACCATCTCTAGTTCTATAATGTATGTAGACGCAATGTATCATATAGTTATACAGTCTTTATAAATTGAAGAACTGGAAACAGCAATTTTGGATACCTTCTTTTACAAGAAAATAGTATGTCATAGAAGAGAAACTGAAGTGTGGAATCATACAGCTCATATAACCTGGTAAGAGGAATGGGCCAAATAGACAGGAGTTCCACATAGAAGAAACAGCAGGGTCACTAGGAATAAAAGGCCCAGGTTTGGAGGATCATTGTAGTTTGCTATTGCTAACATATGGCAGAGTTTGGAATTCATTCTGCAGAGAGTGGCACAACCAGTTTCATATTATAGAAAGCAAACAAACAAACAAAACACTGGCCACATCATAACATCACCGATGTACTATAATGGACCAGTTTCTAGATTAGTTGTTATATGTTATCTTACCTGCTGTGCTAAATGCAGCAGTGTGAGAGAGCCAAGAACTTGTTCGTGAGCGAGCAGACAGCTCACTTGGGAATGGGTCCGTGGTACCAAGTCCCACCAACAAAATTCATTTGAAGTTACGTGTATGGGATGGCTCCCTTCTGTCTCCCCTAAAGGAGGCAGATGTTCCAAGACACATCTTTCCTTCTGCTGGCACTTTCATGTCTTTTCTGTGTCACCTGTTCCTGCTTTTCTGCCTCACTCCCAAATTCCTCTCTCTATCCCACTGAAACAGCTTTGGAGAAGCTGTGTTCTTTTCAGTCAAGGAGTGTTTTTTGAGCACTGACACTGCCCCAGGAGGTATTCTAGTTACAGAAGATGGCAGTGAATCAGCCAGTCCTATCCCTGCCCCATGGAGCTCACAGCCTAGTCCAGGAAGAGGGGATAAATAAAAAAGGAAACCCAGAGTTGGGCAGATTTGCCAAAGTCAGTGGCAAAATCTATTTAGACTTGTGTTATTCTCCCTGTACCCCTAGTGTGTGATACATCTTTCCTGAACATTTGATAGCACTGAAAGGCCCTTCCCCTTGATTGTATTTTTAGCACTGCTTTCACATCACCCTCCTACTGTTGGAGTTTCTTACTTACAGCCTTCCCTCTCCTGTGGCCTGCTGGAGCCCTTGTCCTAGCTAGTAATGCTTTCCCTTTCTGGATGTGTTTTTCTACTTGGAGAAACCTGATCCTCACTCCCTTGCTCTTTACTGATGTGCCCAGGACATCTGCCTGTGGCTGGCTCCTGTAGCACCAGAGCTAAACAGCCTTCCTCCCCAGCCCCAAACTGCCTTCTAATCTTTTTTGGTGGTGATAGGCACCACAACCTACCTAGGCAGCACAAACCGTGTACCTGCATTTCAGCCACCTCAGTGCTAGTTCAGTAATTCCTGTTGTAGCTTCTGTCACATGCAGCACTCACAGACACACACATGCACACACACAGGCACACATGCACTCACTCACATACACACACTCCCACATGCACACTCAAACACTTGTGCGCACACACAGGCACACACACACTCCTGAGGTGGTTGAGGTCTACTCTGCCTGGCCTGTTACTGTATTTAGTCACCCCTCCCGCTTCGTTCTGTATGTTAACTTGAGTAGCCAAGTGATTCTTTTTCTGAATTTCTTATTCAGCTGTGTGAGACTCTCTTGAGAAAATAGAGTAAGATTCTGAACGACAGGGTCATCTAAGGGGAAGGTTCTCTTGCATGCCTCTTGGCATTATGTACATATCAACCCATGTTTCTAGGGAATTGTCTCTTCTAAACATACCATCTACTTTTGGGCCACCCGCATTGGCTCAGGCTGCTTCCTCTGCTTGAGCAGTCTCACCTCCAGGGTCACCTCTGTGTGTTTGACAGCCCGCTTTTCTCTGCACCATTGTCATCCTAGGCCCTAGCAGGATAGGTTCCTAGGTGTCCCATACCATGGTTTGAGCTTCCCTCTTTCTTACTAGAACCAAGCTCCTTTTGCACAGGAACTCTACCCTTTAATGGCTGTATGTCAGAGCCTCCAGAGATCTGACTCTTGGTAGACTCATAATGTCTATTGTATAAAAAGTACATGATTCAAGATGTGTGTAGAACAGCAATAACATAAAATGGTCTTTAGGTTAAAGGACTGTTGCACCCAAAGCTGAGCTGAGCCTGATAATCTCTCGAAGCTCAGCTCTCTTACACTAACCGTGTGAGTTCTCGAAGCATCTGTTAACGCTAACCATACTAAAGGAACAACTATAAGATTGTTATATCTATCTCATAGTAAATGTATAAGACTATAAAAAAAGAGACTTGTAAATTTAAATTTAATGCTGAAAATGAATATATTTTCAGAGCATGAGAAGAGAATATCAGAATATTTTGTGGTGGGTGGGACTGAAGACAGTGTGTAATAAGGTAACAGACTGACATAGGGCAGTGGGATGCTGTTTTAGCTACTGTGTCTTCACATTAGGTACAAAGGTGCAACAGACTCCTACATTGAGAAGGTGATGATCTCTTCCAATGCTGAGGATGCTTTCCTCATCAAAATGCTCTTGAGACAGACACGACGTCCAGAGATTGGAGACAAATTCAGCAGTCGTCATGGGCAAAAAGGTAAGCATAACACCAAATGTTTCGTCTTCTCTCACATTCACCTGTTAGTGTTTTGTTTTGTTTTGTTTTGTTTTGTTTTTTGAGACAAGGTTTTGAAATACCCAGATTTCGAGTCTCCAAATGACCAACAGGCTTTGAGTCCGATGTAAAACATATAAGGGTCTTTATTACAAAATCGAGCTGGATGGATGCCCTTCACAAGAACAAAGGGGCAAGCGACCCCCAACTCCAGGAGAACAGGGTTGTTTTTTTTTTTTTAACTTGTATTAATTATACTTTATTCACTTTGTATCCCCCCATAAGTCCCTCCCCCCCTCCCAATCCTACCCTCCCTACCCCTTCTTCATGCATGCCCTTCCCCAAGTCCACTGATAGGGGAGGTCCTCCTCTCCTTCCTTCTGATCTTAGTCTATCAGATCTCTTCAGGAGTGGCTGCATTGTCATCTTCTGTGGCCTGGTAAGGCTCAGGGGGAGGTGATCAAAGAGCAGGCCAATCAGATTATGTCAGAGGCAGTCCCTCTTCCCATTACTATGTAACCCACTTAGACACTAAACTGCCATGGTCTACATCTATACAGGGGTTCTAGGTTATCTCCATGCATGGTACTTGATTGGAGTATGAGTCTCTGGGAAGACCCCTGTGTTCAAATTTTCTGGTTCTGTTGCTCTCCTTGTGGAGTTCCTGTCCTCTCCAGATCTTACTATTTCCCACTTCTTACCTAAGATTCCATGCACTCTGCCCAACAGTTGGAGAACAGGGTTTTTAAGGGGACGAAACACAAGAAGGGGGACTGCTGCTGGACCCCTGCTCTGAAAGGACTGTAATCTGGTGATTTTGCTCCAGTCCCAGGAATTAACTCTTAAGTTTTTGAACCTCTCATTTCCCCTTTTTCAAGAGGAAAATTTCTCGAATCTTCTAGATGTGCCCGAGTCATTTAACTTGGTGTTGGGGGGGCCTTTAATATCATTTTTAGCTGCCAGGTAGGATCAGGGGTGGAGGATCTCGTCTTCTATAGTTGCTTCAATGCTGACCATGGGGCCATTGCCATTGGGGCAGTCCTGTGTAGTCTGAAGCTCCCGGTATCAGTCTAAGATGAATCCTACTGAGTCCATCAACTTACATGGGTGTCGCAGGTGGCTCTCTGGAGAATAAACCTGTCAGACTAGACACAGACTAGGAATAGAGTTATTATTTTGAAGGGAGGGGGAATTTATGAGTTGGTGTTTTCAGTCGTGGCCAGGTGTTGGTACTGTGAGTGGAGCACCATTAGCTGGATAGTCCCCAGTCTCTGCCTAATGTAGGCCATTAACTGGTTCAGCAAACATGGCACAATAGTAAGTAGTAATATTATGACTGTGAGAGGGCCTAAGAGAGTAGATAGCAAAGTTGTCCACCATGGAGATGTGTGAACCAAGATTCAAACCATCCTGACTTGGCCTTTCTCTCCTTATGCCTCTGTTCTAAACCTTCCCTGACTTTTGCCAGTGACTCTCTTATCATACCTGACTTAATTGACATAGAAGCAACATTCTTCCTTGAGCGCTGCACATAGCCCTCCTTGTTGCAGAAACACCAAGTCAAGTCCTCTCCTATTTTGGAGGACAACCTCTACCAAGGATTCAACGCTCTGTTCAAGGTCTGCAATTGAGTCCTCCAGTCTTTGGATGTCTGTGTCTATAGATTTTCTCAGGTGTCCGTAATGCTTATCCTTGAGGACCAAGGAAGTAATACCTGTTTCTGCTTCTGCTGCTCCCAGCAATACCACTAGAGTGATAGCTGTAGCCGTTATGGGTTTCCTCTTATTTCATACATGATTCTGGTACAGTCGATTAAGGGCTGTAAAGAACTCTTCATTGTTATGGTAGATTAGTTGGGGAACCAACTGAACAGTAAGAATCTTGAGAGCAGCTTGCCGTAGGTGCAGGGGGTTAAGCCAGAGGAACTAGCCCACCAAGCATTATTGGGAGGTACCAAATATTGATCCTTCCCACCCCTAAGAGTTAAGGTCTGGTTGCAGAGGTTTTGATGGGTGTCTGGGACTGTCCCCACGCAAGTCCCTCTTCCTGAACTACCTGGAGAGTAAATCTGGCCTGAGGGGGTGGTTGCCACCTTTAGGTGGTCATACCTGTAGCAAGGCTGTAGTTATTAGTGATTGCCACAGTCTCATAAAACAGGGGCCGTGAGTTATAACATAACCAACAGGACTTAATGAGGTCTGGGCGAGTCCCCTTTAGGGCTACATAAGTGTTTAGCATTAATTCCCAGAGAGGGTCAGACTGGGGTTCCTGGGGAGGCCTCATAATTTGGTTAATTTTGGGGGCAGGAGCAACTGGAGGTTTGGGGGTCCTTGTTTTCTGGGGAGCCTTGGTAGTAATCGGACTTAAGGGGTTAGGTGCAATAGTCCTTGGTGCAATATCAAAAAGGAGGAACCTGAAGTGTATTATTCCCCTATGCCTTTCTGTCTTCCATTGTCGCAGCCCAAAGTTTTTCCCTGCAGCCAATTGGGATAGCTTTTTCCCTCTTTGGTGAAGGAAAGCAATAGCTGATTACAGGGTTGGGTTATAGGGCGTCGAGGCAAATCACTGTTAATTGCATATGGTCAGTTATCATATTTGGGGTCCCTAGTGAACTAGAAAAGTCCAGATGAAATTGGTTTCCAACTGGTAGAATATTCCTCGCAACCCAATTTTGCACAATATAAGTCGGCTGAGGTTCCACAATATTCCCACCGCCATGGAGAATCAGCGGGGGAGGGACACATATAAAAGTGTCCCTTTACTTCCTAAGCAAAGTACCTTTCACGGGATCCTGTAGGCATGGCGAGTGCCAGATTGAACCTCAGTTCAGGAAACCATGGCTTGGGAGGAGCTGCCCGGGAGGCTGTGGCTAAGACATTACCATATTCATCCCACAGAACCCAGGTATTGTTGACAGGGACATGTTAGCAGGCTTTGGATGGCTTGACACGTCGGGGGGTGTCTGGGTTGCGGTGTGCTTTCCATTCTTGGGCAGCAGGATTCAGGGAGTCTTCTTGGGTTGAGAATGGGTTGGCCGGCCTACTGTGCGAGCAGGGAATCCAAGCTGCAATTCCGTCGACTTTGCTGGCAGTCAAGGTCGTGAGCAGGACAATGTATGGTCCTTCCACCTGGGCTCCAGTGTGCTTTGTCGAAACCGCTTCACGTAGACCCAATCTCCAGGCTGGAACTTGTGGGGTTCTGGGACCGGGCCTGCCTCATAGAGTGCACGCAGTTTAGGCCAAACATGTTTATGAGTCCATTGGGTAGCTCTTATATGGAAGATCAAGTCTCCTTCATCTATCTCAGCATCAGGTTTAAGATTAGGTACAATGGGGGCTGGTATTCCATACATAATCTCAAAAGGAGTCAGTCCCAATTGATACCACCAGTCTCCAAGGTCAATTTAGTTAAGGTCTCTTTTAATGTCCTATTCATTCTCTCTACCTGATCTGAACTTTGGGGTCTGTAAGCACAGTGTAACTTCCAATCTGCCCCAATACATTTTGCTACACTCTGACTTACCTTTAAGCCAGCCCATTATCTGACCCTATCAGATGGGGGAAGCCATACCTGGATAGAATATCTTCCAATAATTTTTTTGCTACTATCTGAGCGGTCTTGTCCTTGGTGGGGAAGGCCTCAGTCCATCCTGAAAAGATGTCCACGAAAACACTGGTAGATATTTATACCCATATCTTCCAGGCTTGATCTCTGTAAAATCAACCTCCCAGTAGGCTCCAGGTCTCTTACCTCTAAAGCGTGATCCCAGGTGTTGCGGTCTGTTCATGGCGTTGGTCAGCTGGCAGGCTTTACAATTAGCAACACTATCGTCAATGGTCTTACACATGTCTTTAAAAGTTACTTTGGATTGTCTCACAGCACCTGCCATTCTCTTGGATCCCATGTGAGTGACTCTGTGGATTTTTCTGAGAATGACTCTAGCTAAGGAGTTGGGTAAGATTAACTTACCGTCAGCTGAGTGCCACCAACCATTTAAATATTGACTCATGGGTTGGTTTTGTGCCCATTTTATTTTTTCTTTAGTGTGTTGGGGTCCCTCTGGCAAAGTTGGGTTAGGTGGCTCTGGCAACATCATTGCTAGGATGGTGGCTTCTGCTTCTCGCAAGGCAATATCCTTAGCCGCCTTATCAGCCCAATTGTTGCCTCTGGCTACTTTGGTGGTTCCTTTTTGGTGTCCAGGGCAATGAATAATAGCCAGCTTTTGGGGAAGCCATAGGGCTTCAAGGAGTTGTAAATTTTCTTTATTTTTAATAGTTTTTCCTACAGCTGTCAAGAGCCCTCTTTCTTGGTACATGGCTCCATGCACATGGGCAGTGGCAAATGCATACCTACTGTCCGTATAAATATTGACAGCTAGTCCTTTGCCCAGTGTAAGGGCTTGGGTTAAAGCGATTAATTCAGCCTTTTGAGCAGAAGTCCCAGGGGAAGGGATTGAGCCCAAATTACCTCAGTCTCGGTGGTCACTGCTGCACCTGCTCTCCTTTGACCCTCATGGATGAAGCTGTTCCCATCTGTGAACCAAGTGTGCTCAGCATTTGCCAGTGGGGCATCCATCCTTCAGGTCAGGTTGGGTGCTGTGTACCTGAGTCAAGATCTCACAGTGATGCAGTGGCTGCTCCAGTTCTGGATCTGGTAGGAGAGTCGCTGGATTTAAGGAGGCAGGGGGCTGGAAAACAACCCAACCATTGATCAGGTGGCTGTTTGAGTACTCCCTCTATGGCATGGGGAGTGGTCACCATCAGATTCTGGCCCAATGTCAGCTTATCGACATCCTTGACCAGTAGTGTCGTTGCTGCGATAATGCACAGACAAGGGGGCCATCCAGCCGCTACTGGGTCTAACTTTTTGGACAGGTATGCCACCGGACGTCTCTAAGGCCCCAATGTCTGAGTCAAGACTCCTTTGGCAACCTCTTTCCATTCATCCACAAACAGGTAAAAAGGCTTAGTGATATCTGGCAA